CCGCCAAGCTCATTCTCTCTGAACGCCTTGTCATCCACAGCCAACTAGACTGTATGGCAAACAAGCGGATGGGTTTTTCAAGAGGATAGGACTCCAGGATGAACGAAGCAGCTGCTATAGGCCGCATTTATAGCTTGCGACCATAAAGAAATGCAGAAATGCAGAAATGAAGAAATGCGGAATCTGCAGAAATGACGAAAAGCAACCGATACGTATCGATTTTCCGCACTTTCTGCATTTCTGCAGATTCCGCACTTCTTCACTTTCGGCATTTCTGCATTTTTTTTCAAATCGATGTATATAATCGATAATCGATATACAATGCTTTTCGTCATTTCCGCAGATTCCGCATTTCTTCATTTCTGCATTTCTGCATTTCTTTATGGTCGCAAGCTATGAACGCGGCCTATGGCAGCTGCTTCGGTCATCCTGGAGTCCTATCCTCTTGAAAAACCCATCCGCTTGTTTGCCATACAGTCTAGTTCGCTGTGGATGACAAGGCGTTCAGAGAGAATGAGCTTGGCGGGACACCTACTCGTTTCCTTCTTCTTTTTCTTTCGGCATGTGGCGAGATCGTATCACATCGTTCGTATCAGTCGTTCTCCTTCAGTTGCTGTCGCTTGCCCGCTTCAACAACTGCTTAAAAACGAGCTGGCTGCGCTCAAAAATGAGCCTCACTGACACCCCCCCCCCCCATCATGCGCAGCGAATTAGACTTTATTCTTCCGTACATTTCGATAATGTAGCAGCCGCTTTCCTCTGTCTGTCTGTGCAACGGGATTCCTTGACGGATCCATGGAAGAAGGAGTCGCTATCCAGTGGCTATTCTTTTAATTTGTCAAAATGTTTTTCAAGGCTACGACATCTGGCTCTGCAACTGTCTGATTACTTCATAGAACATCTTCAAGACCTTTCCGAAGCTGAAGAGGCGCGGTCATACAATGTGAGTGTATTCTTATAGCCTCTTTTTCGGGCTGGATCTCATTTTATGGCACTCGGATATATTTAGGCAAATATCCCCGGCAGTAGTCGGGATACAGCAAATGACTCTGTGGAATCTTACTTCAATCGCAGCCAGCGGTTTGTTGACACTGTGGAGAAGGCCCTTTACTTGGCCCATGTGAGTGTACCATTTTTTTCGAACCTCTTCCTTCTTTTTTTGATCTCTCAAATGATTTTTTTAAGATTCTAAGCGCAGACCCAGCTAATCATTCTGGTATGTTCACATTCTTGCTGAATGTCTTGCAATGTCCAAAATACCCAATGGCGACCAAGTATCTGCAAGTGAAGCTGTACTATTTGGTAAGTTATCAATGGCTTCAAAGCTTTCTCTGCCATTTTTGTCGTTTTTACCTATTGTTCATTGAATATTTTTGCGGATGACTCTTGCTTTAGGAGGGTGAGATTGTCTCGCTGCTCCAAACGGTGAATATTGGCGCACGAGAGCTGGATCAGCTGAGAGAAGCGGCATCGTATATGGCCACAGCGGTCACGACTCAGATCGTGCCACCCATCGCTCTGGCTCACTTTATCCTGGATCGATTGAGTTATGCGTTCAATGTGTGCGAAGTGGATCAGAATGGGTAACCGAGCTCAATGTCGTTTAGCTGTTTGAAACTCGTTGAAATGAATGGCTGATTCAGACAGCCGAGCAGCCGCATGTTGCCGAATCGTCTTGGTGCCCGTCGTCCTCAAGACGAAGATCTCGCGCTGAAGGCTGCCCTTGATGCAGTTGGTGCTAGGCCATTGTTCTCCGATGAGGACTATCCTCTGTTGAGTGAAGCTGTCCGAAGGCAAAAAGGAGAGCTGGCAATTGCCCTTTTGACACGGTAGGCAAATAATGTGAAATTTTCGTTTTTATCAGATTGTCATCAAGACCAAGAAGGATATAACAGTACACAGAAAAAATTCTCCAAAGGGGAAGGTTATAGGCCTTTCCAGTAATTTTGAAATAATTATTTTCATTTTTTCCATTTCCATTCCATTTTTTTCATTTTTTACTTTTTCCAACATCGCACAATCCGCAAGTACAGTCTTGTTCGCTGCGGATGCTGGGGTGTGTCAGTGAGGCCGGGTCTGGCGGGGCTCCAGCCCACTCGCCGGCTTCTACAATTGGCGCCGCGCCATCCGCAGCGAACAGACTGTATTTCCTGGCACATTTGTTTAGAAATACAAAGTCAGTGCGCAGTTTGAATAAAATCCGGTAAAGCTCTTCAGAGGGCTATTCTTGATATATACCACTTTTTTTGCAGCTGTACATGTTTTCTTTTTAAATTATTCAAAGTTTTCATTCTAGGCATAGAGATTCCACTGAAAAGCTTGGCCTCATCTTGGACCGGCTACTGGATCCTTCGATTCACAAGATGTACTCGTGAGTTCTCACATTGCAGTTCTTCTTTCTTTTACGGTTTAAATGTTATCGTGTGGTCTTTATTTCCTGAAGGTGGGCCAGAAGTTCAGTGGGAAGCGGCATCACTTCCGCCCAGGAAAGCAAAACTGAGATCTCTTTTTAAATCTGCCAAGTTTCCCATCCCTCCTTGGTCAGCTAATTCGTCATAGACTCATCTAAGAAGGTGAACCCACTGAGGTTCACATGAATTTGCTCAAACGAAAAGGTCGAAAGTCGAAAGCTATATGCTGATGGATGGGAGCGGAGTGCATGGCCCATTCCTGTCATGAATATTCGACCGTTTCTGTGGATGATATTTTGACTCGCCTTCAATATCCTTGAACGTTTCATTTGTTCTTCAAAAAGCTTGGGATATGTTTTCCAACCTTTGAATGTTTCAGTGATGCCTAGCTATTTTATTTATTTATTTAAGTGACAACTGCAATATTTCATGCAATGAATTTTTCATCTTCAGATGGCATCAATCAAACGCAGCATACTTTTTGGATAGAGATCCGGTATATCTCAAGCTTGGCCAACGAGGGCAACGTCCGGCATTTCCGATCCCATCACATGCACCGCCAGTGCTAAGGTAGTTCGCATCTGGTTTCGACTAAGTAGAACTTGAAGATCAACCAGGTCTTTAGGTCTGTTTCTCTGCAATCAGCTGACTCTAGGAACAGCGCTTTCGATGAAGAAGTGGAGTGTATATCAGAGCAGATGCAGTCACTCGCAGCAGGGTGGGTTGAACGTCGAAGTCTGCTCGTTCATTAAGACAGCGGTCTAACTTCGTGGCTTGAGCCGTGACTGCGTTAGTCACGTCTCAACACGAAGTCACTGACCGCGCTCCAATGCTAACCGTTGGACTAGCGATGGAGCGCAGTCAGCGCGATTCCTCGATCGCTCGACTGAATGGCTCCAGGCGCGAAGTATGAACGTAACCTTAGGTCAGCACACATTAATGCCAGTTCAGCACCGTGGTCTTCTGCAATTTTAGCTCAAGACAATCTTCTGATGAAGGAAACGAGAGCATCCGCAGCACCCCCACGTCTGCGTCTGTTATTACTGAAACCAGCGATCCACCGGCGTCATCAAAACCGAGTACTAGCAAGGCAAAGTCGGTTCTTTTTAATGATCGTTCTTTTCAAATTATAAAAATTATAGGAATGTAATGAGGATTTTCTTATTCAGAGCTCGCTTGGTGCCGGTGTCATGTACCACGGAAGCGCACGCACATTATATGCATGAACTAGCGAAACGGGTCCTTACTGAGGCAGGAGGAAGTCAAAGCTCGGTTGTCTTTGCACCTATTGGACAGAGTCCACTAGGTATGTTGTTAGCGGTTTCAGTCGCGAGAATTATTTCATTTTTCCTTAAAATGTATCTGAGAGCTCCTTTTTGGGGGTGTATGGCTACTAGTGAGTTCTAGAGATTTTTCAGCTATTTTTCACTGTGAGAGTTACGTTATGCATATATTATTCGCGTAAATATTTATCAGTAGTCTTAAGAGAGCTAACATAAAGTGAAGAATTCGAGCTTTTCCAGCGTCGAATCGGAAACTGCACATGTGCGCGTTTTTGATCGGCATGTATGCCATTGGCCTTCACAATCAGGTGTGCACGAGCTGGAGATCAAGGACGTATAGCACGCATGTTTCCTGGATCAACTTGCAGGCTTCTGAACTTGGTATGCTTTACAGAAACAGTAACCATGAGGCCCTGGTTGAAGTTTTAATCTGTATTTTTTTTGGGGGCGTGTTCTTTACGGAGTGGGGCTACTTAGCTAAAAAACATTCTAGTTGCAGTTCAGCCGGGGAAGGGGGGGGGGTGCGGGGGAAAGTGGCATTTGCACTTTCGCTACTTCCCATTGTCGTGTCCTTTGCATTTCCAGAGTTTACGTATTCTGTACAAGAGTTGACAAGTAGTTTCTGCAAACTTGGACTGGTTTCATTCTATGGCTTCACATGTTATAAATCTCTTAATAGCTCGTCTAGACAACGGGAAGGAACGAAAGTGCAAAAGGCCTCTCCCAAGCCAAATTTGCCGAAATTTATATTAAGAAGGGGCATACCATTCGAAGAAGAAGTTAAAGAAAACATGTGGGTCTTGCAATCTCATGGAAACTAACGAGAGGTTCCGCAAGACCAAGGCGGACGTCATTGGCGTGAATTCGCTGGTGGAATTTCAGGCTTTTATTTTATTCGCAGAATTATGGTGTCCGGTGGAAGTGACTAAGACAGGGCACGTCATCGGTTGTGGCATCACAGGCGAGGGAGGGGTCTATTTGATCGAGATGCGGGGGTCGATATTTGTTTGTAAGGAATTTTGCTGCGTGAATAAAAATTTTCCTCCTGGATGTTTTGCGGTTTTCCTCCGGATTCGGGAATGCCGCAAAGAAACTCGGAAAAGGTATGGGAAGTTGGGGAGTGGTCGTAATGGAGCATGGATTAGTGTGAGGTGTCAATTTTTGCCAGGATTTACACACAACGCGATGGCGTGCCTGCACCACAGATCAATCAACAAGTGAACGGGGAGTAGGTAGGCTCTATAGAGAATGTATGGTGACTCCGAGCGAAGGCAATGCGTGGACCTCATGGAGAATTGAGTCTATGTATTCTTTGCAACCTGTTCTCGTGTGAGATTTTTGAATCCTTATTCTTTTGCCTTTTTCTCTTCGCTTTCATTTTTTTTTGTTTCCAGCTTTATGCATTGAAGTGGTTCGCGAAACGTGGCCATTCTGACGACCGTCCGAACCAGCGGGACTGGCTGATTAAGGTATGTTATTACGTTTCTGCTTTTTTTTTTAGGACACCTTGAATTCATATGTGTTATAACAGTGACCCGAAAACGTGCGGTAGAGTCAATGCGTTCTTTCGTGATTACGCCCTGATTTTTAATACGCAGCGGTTGGGTTACCATGGTTTTGATTGTCTTTGTGTACCGTATTTGGTACAGTATGGTTTATGGCGTGTGTGCAGCGTCACATTGAGAATTCCTCAACAGGAAGTTTTAATGTGTACAAAGTGGCGAGCGAGCAAGGGGGAGTTTTTAGCGATCCCACCGCGTTTCCTAGTGTTTGTGAATACTGTTCGGGTTTTCCGAGCTGTTCATCTTATTTGAATTTTCTGGCGACTAGTCTGCAGCTGAATAGTCGCACATGCCAGGATTTCCAGGAGGATGTGCAGGCATAAGTAAAAAAGTAGGTTTTGTAGCGGTTTTGGGCAGTAGTTTTCTTCTCTTTTTCTACTTTCAACGGGTATTTGCTATATCAGCGCTTTATTTTCTTTTTAGTTTTTTTTTTAATATTTAGTCAGAGCTTCATTGCGAGGCTTCAAACTTGTAGCAGTGATTTTTTTTTGTTCAGGCCGGTCAATCGCGTGACCCTGCTGTAGTTGAAGAAGCTGCCAGACTGGCGCTCTCAGTACTACCGTACGCGTACACTCTAAGCGACTGCGGACGCCCCCCCCCAAGTTTGCCCTCCTGGCAGTGTCGCGGAACAGGGAGCCGCGTTGCTGGAAAGTGCTTGTCGAGCTATTGAAGAGGTGGGTTTTGTGGTGTTTTCACGACATTTACAGTCCTTATGTCGCCGTTGAAGAGGGAGTGTTCGCGGATGCGGCCGAGAGCGCAGCGCCAGAGCCGGCAACTGTTTGCAGGTACGCAGCCTCCACACGCTCGCAGCAATGTCCGTGGACTTCCCCTGTTCACCCAAATATAGACACTTGTCGATTAAATTGTCCACTTAAACTGCTCAGAATCCTGTTTCGTGTACTGTCATTTGATTCCGTGTTTTTTAAGGCAGCAAATCAAGAAATCGTATTTGCGGACGTTCTTTTCCGGGTAGCACGATACTGGCATGATTTACATTATGAGCTCGATCATCCAACTGTACATCAGCAACAGCACCAAAATCAACCTGGATCTCAGGCTGTACCATTTAACTCCAACAACCAACATCAGCAATATTTTAACATTGTAAGTTAGGTTTTATTCTTTTTGTTACTGGAGGAGGTAGTGATGTGACCACATCTAAAGGTCTGCTCCTCCTCTCATTGAGGCAGTTCCCTTTCCTCCCATGCGCAGTCTCAGAAAGCGCCAAACGATCAGAGTAGGCGCATGGTGTCGTCACAACCTCTCCCAAACTCTTAAGCCCTGTAGCACCATGTCCTGTTATTGGATCCAAAATCTCTAATGGAAACCAATGATTTAGCCTACTACTCACGCTCAACAACAACAGTTCTACTACCAACATATACACCCATCGCAGTCAATCGCTTTTATGCAAGCTCATCCACCGCCGGTACCAGTGAGGTGAGGTTTTCATTAGTTTCATTCTCCAGTTCGAAATTTTCGCTCAATTTTCCGGTACTTTTTCATTTTTGATGTCTAGTTTTCAATCAATTTTCGTTTGCTTCAGTCAAGCAAGCAACAGTAACAATCTGTCTGTGTCTGTGGCGAATGAAATTGGACGATTACATCAAAGCCAGTCAGCACCTCAGTTGTCGGGCTCACGGCCTGGCGCCCAATTGGGATCGGAAACACGGCCACGTCTTGTGAATGCTCATCGTGTTGGTATTCGAGCCCTGGCCACAATGGCCGCCAGTGCCAATGATGAGACACGGCAGTACAGCAAGTATTCCCAAGTGAGTTACTGAGGCTTTTGTGGGAACTGCTTACCCTTTCTTACTGACCTTTTCGAGAGTTGACTGGAAAATGATCCCTGAGAGTAGATTCTACTAGACATTAGTCCTAAGGGTTGTTAATTATATTACTGGAGAATGCTATCACATCCGTTCAACGCGAAAGCGCCTGAAGCTCGGCTTTACAGAGCTGCCTCCATAGCAAGGGCTATGGTGCCTAACAATGGCGCTCTTTCTTTTACAGTTCTATGCGCGTTCATTTTACTCGAACTACCCCTCAAAGCAAGTCTTCAGCGAATTTGATGATTGAAATAATGAATTTGAGGAAATGTTTTGGCGCCTGTGTGAGTAGCACGGGCATCAAACATTTGCACGTCAAAAGTATAAGGCCTGGGCAGTCGAGCTTCGCTGGTACGAGTTTTCAGGCGGTAATGCCCTTAGGGACAAACTTCTACTCTATGAAAAAACCTAGCTGAATTTCGAGAAGT